TGTTCCCAGTTTGGCATCAGTTGATTGGTATTTTGAGTTGACATAATAATTTGGAACCTAATTTCTATGTTGTATTGGTTTGGGCTCACAATAACTCGATCCTGAGTCATTACTTTTCAGTTGCCATGTTTTTGAATTGGGCTTTCTTTTTAGGATTTAGTTTAAGCCATCAGTGGTTCGGCGCATTTGCAATTGCGATAGGTTATTGGGCTTATTGGGCCCAGGTTTGAAAGCAGGCGGAAATTGGATTTTGAGTTAATTGCTCCCTTTAGTTCGAGGTTTGCTAATTAGTTAGTAGGTTTGAGATTTTATTTTTCTTTAGTTAGTTAATTGGTTTTCTTTTCAAAATAGAATGGAGGTGTGCCATAATAACCAATTGAATAGTGTATGGCCCTTGTATTTTAATTTAAAAGCCTATTGGCTAGAATAAATCGAGGTGTGCCGTGCCGAACAAAATCTCAATTGCATGGCCCTCGTTTAATTAATACTTTTATCCTTAGAAATCGAGGTGCGCCATTTAGCGAATTTTCATGGCCCTCGCAAAATTGCAAACGCGTAGTTGCTTTAGGCGCGTTATTTTAATAATTTACCTTCCTAATCTCGGGTGCACATTTATGTGACCTAAATCCAAATCTCAACAATGTTATATAAAATGTGTTGCGGACTACGGGTGCATTTATGTTACGTGGTTCAAGACATATTTTAAATGACATTGTAATTTTCTTTTAAAAATGAATAAAAGCGGTTAAAGGTTTAAAATTGCACATAGGTTAAAATATGTATTAAAATCAGATAATAGGCCAATTATAACAGTTGAGCGGCCGTGCTTGAACCACGGAACTCGGGAATGCCTAACACCTTCTCCCAGGTTAACAGAATTCCTTACCCGGATTTCTGGTTCGCGGACTGTAAAATAGAGTCAATCTTTTCCTCGATTCGGGATTTGAACCGGTGACTTGGGACACCATAAACTATCCCAAGTGGTGACTCTGAATCTTTAAATAAATAATCTCGTTTCGATTGTCCTTTAATTGGAAAAACTCTCTTATATGCCCCTTTCCGAGGGTGTAGGAAAAAGGAGGTGTGACAAGGGGTATCCATAGATTGAGCCTCCCGAAACTGCCCTTCAGAAAATTCAGGACGGAGCAGCGAATCTTCAATTTTGATTTTCCCAAGAAAGTCACTTAGGGCGCTCTCTCCCTTGCGAATAGCTCTAGAACCGGACCCTACAGGCACACTCGAGAGTTGTCCATCACGGCAAGAAATATCTTCGGCCCCTGATGACTCGGGGACTTTTCTCGGAGCACCTTCCGGGATCTCCTCAGTCCGAGGGTGAGTCTCCTCTACCGTCACCGGCCTAGCCACTGTTGAAGCTTCGATGCTCCCCCTCTTTTGAGGCACTAGCTCATAACCAGCATCTTCCCCCTCCTCTTCTTCATCTCGTAGCTTTTGGGCTACATTAGCAGATAGAGCGGCGGAGTCGTCCTTCGACTTATGAGCCTTACTCTTCTTAGGCTTTGGGGTATCAGAAGGTGAGGCCCTTTTCCTTTTCTTATCCTTAGCCTATTTGGGAGCCACCTCTTCCCTAAGCAGGCCGACCTCATTTCAGCAATATCCTCGAGGCATGCATAATTTTTTAAAACACAAGGGCCGGAAATATACTCGTGAGGGAGCGGCTCCACCGGTGTTTTGTCACCGGCAAGCCGGAACGGTCTTGGAGGTTTCGCCATTGATTCAGGTAGAAGAAAGCGAAAAGAGATGAAAATTGGTGTTTTTGTACTAATTAAGTTGACTCAATGGGTGGTGAAAGAGAAGAGATGGAAGGAGGAAAAGACTTAGAAAAGCTTGGTGAAGGTGGAAGTAAAGTTTTGATTCAAATAAAGAACCTGTATTTATAGATTCACGGCGACAGTTCGGTGGCGTTAGTGGCCGACCACCCACTAACAGTCATTAATGATTTGGGGAACTGTACCGACGGGACGTTTCGGTTACCTCGACCGCTTATGTCACGGGGATGACATCATTATCGGGGTCTCCAGAAAATCGAGGCTCAAGTCATTTCTTATCATTTTACTCTAAGAAATGAGGGGACTATCTGTATATGGTGGGGCTACCCGATTTCGTCCTTCGATGGAGAAAAATATACCACGTCGAGAGGCCGGGACGTCGAGTCGGGATCAAAGTTTCTTTCCAAGATCGAGGTCGACATCACTAATCGAGCACAAAGGGGCATACTTCGAAATGATGCCAGTATAACTCAGTAACGGAAAGGGCGAGATATCCGCAACGGACCGAAGATCGTGGCGTGAATATCGAAACGGATCGGTCTACATCGGTTAATTAGATGTTAATATGATTTCCTACTATAATTAGAAGTGTACCTTATTTAGGACTCCCCTATTATATAAAGAGGGATCCCATTCATTTATAAGCATACACTGTTCACTGATAAGAAAATATACGTTCATTACTTTCTTGCTATTTCGCTTACTGTTCATCAGAGTTGCTTTATCATTTTCTATTCCTGTTATCACACCTCGAGATTACCACAGGTCGTAGTCGAGATTTGGCTTGCATACTGGTTTGATTTATTTTATTCTCCAATTTATCTATTTAATTCCCTGTTTATCAATTGGTATTGGATTAAATCACATATCCTTAAAACCATAATATAAATTTAATTGTTACTCGAATTTTAGGGTAAACAGCAGTAATAATTTATTTTCATACTATCAAGTTACTTAACATGTATCCCGTGAAATTTGATTTAGAAAATTTGTTGTTAATATTAAGTGAGTGTTTGGACATAAGTATTGTAAAATTTTGAAAAAAGTGAAAAAATTTCAAGTGAAAATGATATTTGAAAGTTAGAGTTGTGTTTGGATATGATTACAATTTTGGATTGTTTTGAATTTTTGTGAGCGATTTGAACAGCCTTTTAGAGTTCACAAATTTTAAAAAATTTCGAAATTCATGAAAATTGAAGATTTCATGACCAAAGGTTGATCTAAAAGAAAGTGAATTTTTTTTGAAAAAAAATTGTTGTTTATTTATCATGCTGAAATTTTGACATAGACGAGGTAACTCGTCACATTGACGCAATTAATGAGCACTTGCGCCTATGGAATTATGTCCCATCTCTTATTGTCTATCCAATCTAGATAACCCTCCAACGACATGTTAGCCAAAAGACAATCCTCTGTTTTGAACCACATCAGAAACCCACCTTACGGGAATTGGATAATGACTCCTCAATCCACATTATATGCACTTTGAATAGTGGACTTTTCCCCATGCTTATATAAAGTGCCTATCTGAATCGATATTGGTTGTCCCGAGAAGGATAAAAATTGATTAAGGATTTAGGCTTAGGTTTAAATTTCTTTGTTTGATCTTGCAATATGGTTATTCCCATTAATTCCCTTCATTGACAGATTGTACTTGCGGAAAAAAAAAAACCAAAATGTGTGTCGAAAACAGCGGCGGACCTAAATTGTACATATGCATTGAGATAAGGCGAAAACGTGTGTCAAAGACAGTGGACCTAGATTTTAGATGAGTTTGTTTAATACAAAGGCTGTTGACGACTTCAAACAGTGAAGAAAATTGGGCTCACCTTACTATACTTGGGTCTTCTATCTAGCTAAGGTATAACCAATGGGTGTGTATATATTGGGAATCGGGGCTACCTGATTTTGTTCTTCGATGGAAAAAATAGTATCACGTCGGAAGACCAGGACGTCGAGCTCGGGGTCGAAGTTCCTTTCCAATGTCGAGGTCGATATCACTTACCGAGGTCAGAAGAAGGCATGCTTTGAGATGATGCCGATATGATTCAGTAACGGAAAGAGCGAGTTATCCGCAATATGCCGGAGATCATGGCGTGAATTTCGGAATGGAATGGTATTCGGCGGTTAAGCAATTGTTAAATATGATTTCCTACTATAATTAGAAGTGTACCTTATTTAGGACTCCCTTATTATATAAAGGGGGATCCCATTCATTTGTAACACATTATTCACGGATAAGAAAATATACGCACATTACTTTCTTGCTATTTCACTTACTGTTCATCAGAGTTGCTTTATAATTTGCTTTTTGCTATTCCTATTATCACACCTCGAGACTATCGCAGGTCGAGGTCGAGATTTGGCAACATACTGGTTTGGTTTACTTTGTTCTCTAATTTATCTGTTTAATCCCTTGTTTATCAATTGACGTTGAATGAAATTACATATTCTTAAAACCACAATACAAGTTTAATTGTTACTCGAATTTTAGGGTAAACAGGGTGTCAATTATCAAAATCAAAAGAATGTTGCAGCTCTACTAATCAGAGGCTAGGATTTGAAGCTTGTATGTTCGGATTTATAATCCTTTTAAGTTATTAGGTTCTAAATTAATAATTTGTATAAATTTAATAAAATTCTTAAGACAAAAGCATGATTTAAATAAAGCTATTGAGTTCGGTTAACTGGCATCCCACACTTTGGCTCCGACCCTAGCTCCACTACCCACCATATGTATGATAGAGTAGCAGGCGTATAGCTAAGCCTCATCTCTAGGAGACGAAATAATTTCTCCAATATACCACCACGAGCGATCTTGTAGAATTTGGACGTCTTTAATCTCTAATCTGAGATGGATTTGGAAGGAATTTTATGGATTTAATTGAATCTATTACTTTCAACTCAAATTATATGCATGCATTAAAAAAGGATTATTTACAAAAGTAGCAGCTATATTCAATATTTATTTTTTCTAGTGGGTATATATGTATATAATTATTTTTAGTTTAATAAATTAGGTGGGTGGCTATTTGAATTAATTCTTCTTTTACAACAAAAAAAAATATACATATAATAAGATCATACTCATTCTGAACTAAGTAATTCTAAATTCGGGATTCGTTTCAGCTTTTAATTGCAATTTTAGTTCAATAAAATAGCTTCGTTATTATATAATCTTATTTTCTAATTTCTTGAGGTGAGACTATGAAGTGGGGTAAAAAAGAAAGACATTCTTTATAAAACAAAGCAACTTCAACAATGGGTGGATACATATTCGAGAATGACATTTTAAACAACCAAATTAGTTTAAATTTTCAATAGGAATTATTATAGACAATCTTCATGGTTAGAGAACCAATTAATGTCTCCATAATTAGTAGCCTTTCCTGCAGCAGAGGGAACATCTTCGATCACTTTCTCTTGTCCCTTTGGGTAAAATATTCCAGTCCGATCATCAGGAACCCACCAATTATCGTCATTATGATCTTTCATGACAGTACCTTTGCTCTTCACTTCCTCAGCATTAAGTTTAACCGTATCACTAATCATGTCTGGGGAAGTGCTTTTTCTGTGATAAGCTTTGCGCAGGATTGGCCTGTGTACAACACAGAAAGAATGGTGTTATTCATTTTTATACTTAAAGATTGTCATACGTTGTGAACTTCAAAATAATAATTCAGTAACTTGATTTGCTGATTATCTTCATTTTCCTGTTGATAAACAAAATTGTTGCAGCATTAGTCAGATTCAAATATTTCATACGCTTTGAAATGGTTCTTAGTCTTACTGAGACGTCTGACGAGTCCAGAATTTTAATTTAATAGGTTCAACCTTTTAAATCTTAAAAATGACCACTCACCATACTTTTAAAATAATATGAGTTCAGAATCTAATATTTATAAAAGAATTTGGTGAATATAATCATAGTAATTCAGTTGGTTGGCTAGTCAAACTTTCACCTTATTTATGAGGATTCGATTTCTCACCTTATAGTTCCGTCCCCCATTTTCCCTTCCCCTATTCCTTACATAATAAAAAATTTAGACAAATAAATATTTCTCGAAATTTTATTATGTTTCGTATACATAGCACTAAGGCTACTTCCGTAACATGCATGGGATCTGAATATTGGTGTTACCGCTACAAATAGTAGCTGAATCATTTCAGTATATCTTTTCTTTATATGGCAAAAGTGTAATGTTGTGGGTGAAACATTAATTGCTTTAAATTCTATAGAAGGTGCTACATATTAAACTTTAGCAATCATAGAGTTAGATAATTAAAGATAAGAAGCAAGTCAGATCTAGAGATTTTGATTGATCTCATTGCTTCAAAAAATCTCAAATAACCGCCCACCTAATTTCTTAAATTAAAAATAGCCGACGGATGTATAATATATGCAAAATTCATGTATAATATGTTGTGTAATCAATGTATAATATATGTATACCAGCTAGAAAAAGTAAACAGTGTATCTAACAGGCTATTTGTGTAATAATCCCTTTCCTTTTTCCAGAATGGCCCATTACTTGCTAGGCCTCATAATTTTAAAAATAGGGCTCCACTTTTTGGCTCTGTCTTTGAAAAGTAGCTACTTTATCCTGGAATTTCAAATTCGACAAGTGAAACTCTAGAACAATGGCATAAAGTTTCACTTATAAATTTAAAACTCCAGGATAATGATTATTTTTCAATTAAAACGATTAAAATGTGTCTATTTGTGAATTTTGCCCCTCATAGTTTTGTGCCTTCTCGTGATAAAAATAGATGGATTTAGTAAGATTTTAAAACCAACATGCAAGAAAAAGGCAAGATGGCTTGTAGTTTCTTGGGGTATTATCATTTTTAGGCCGTTCCAGAAATTATTTACATGTGGTAGCCGAAAAAGTGTATAAAATTTGTATAATTTTTGTATAACATACAAAATATATATACAAATTTTATACATTTTATCGACTATTATTTTTACAACGACTATACAGTGTCATTTTTTTTTTCTTTTCATGTTTATCTTCATTCTTGCATTTTCTTTTCTAAATGGATGAATATTGTCCTCCTTTCGTGGATATGTCGAAGATCTTATTTGCGTGATAGTGATAGAAACTCTTAGCTAGTAGTCTTAGGTAGTATATCCCATAATAGCTACATATATTTTTGGATTTACTCATATCCCCTCTTAATATGGTTACTTATGATCACCACAGACTAAAACAGGCAGGTGTATCTACAGTAACGACCAAATGGAACAATCTCATATATCTCTCACTTTGTCTGAACTATAACATCATTAACATGCATTTCCAAGAATTGCATTTTGATTAAAACTTGTATAGTAACCAGCGGCGGAGGCGGGATTTTCGATAAAGGGGTTTAAAAAAGGAAAAGTTAAAAAATTAAAAGAATCTGTGGTCAGTGAAAATTGAACCAGCAACCTCACAAAGGTTTTGAACCGTCACTGAGCTATGCTTTTGGGTCCTGTTAAATGGATCCAAAATATAATATATAGAGGCACAAAACGGATTTTGTTTTATATGTACAGTGTAATTTTCCGGTAAAGGGGGTTCGGGTGAACCCCTCCCGCCCCTAAATCCGCCCCCTGATGGTAACTTCCCACCCTACAGAGGAATTACCTGAATGTGTCCATACCTTAAAAATTAAAGAAGAAAGAAGAATACGATGGAGTAAATTTTACTTCAAATTTAATAACCTTACTTGAAATACATAAAGTTCATTGATTGTGCTCCTCTACCAGCTGCTGCAGTTGCCATATTATGATCACTTTCTTCCTTGGCTAATTTGCTATGATTTGAGGTGATGTTGTGACAGCTAGCCCAAGGCTTTCTATTTTTATAGTAGTTATAAAATATAGTAAGGGTTGTTGGTTATGGACAATTTAGCTTCCCAAGAAAGAGGGTAAGGATTGTTTTATAAAATTCGTCAGCTTCTGGATCCTACCATAGAAGAATGAAGGACCATATATTATGTCATAACGAGATAATGTTAGTTCCACAGGATATGGAAGCTTTCTTCCACTACTAGATAGCATTAACTTGAAGGCCATGCAACTATATCCTTTTTCTTTATTTCCCAAGCTAATAGAAGCAAGCGGAGCCAGGATTTCGAACCAATAGCTGGTCGTAGTTATTGTATTCCAAATCAAAAATGTTTACACACTGAACTTTGGTAAAATTTGAACTTGTGACATAAAACAAATCTTGAATTATTTTGCCATTTTATTAGTTTCTTTATGTTAAGAAAATCCAACAGCTTATATGTAATCAAATAAAGAGGATTCTCTTTATTCTATTAATTACATAGTATAATTATTTTCAAATAAAATAATTCAATTGAATCCTTTACTCAACCTAGCTCCGCCCTTGCCCAGTCACAATGGGTCCAAATAGCTAGTCTGTCAAATTATTAGGTAGTTGGTTAATAAGGCTTTGCTACATGCCTACATGGAATTAACACGCTAGAGCTGTCGATGTCAAGCATTTGGAGGCTTGGAGCTACATTGATCTACGGGCCAAACTATTTCTTGTGCTTCATCTGTCTCAAATTATCTGTCATTTTTTTCTTTTACACGCTCTTTAAGAAATGTTAATTAGGAATAGGATTTGACTATTTTACCCTTATTTATGTTTAAGATATAATTTCTCTTCATTGAATATTTATTCTATTTATGTGTTATCTCCATCTTCAAGAACAATTATTATTAAGGGTAAAACGGGAAAAACATTATTTCTTTTGTCTTGAACTTCTAAAATGACAAATAATCCGAGACACCTATTTTTAGAAAGCATGACCGATAATTTGAGACGGAGGGAGTAATAACCTCTTCTATCCGTCTCAAATTATCTCTCGTGCTTTCTATAAATAGTTATCTCAAACTATTTGTCACTTTAGAGCTTCAAGACAACATAAATTATATTTTTGTCATTTTACCTTTAATAATAATTGTTCTTGAAGACGGAGATAGCGCATAAACAAAATAAATATTCAATGAATAGAGATTATATTCAAACATAAATGAGAGTAAATAGTTCAATCCTCCTTCTAATTAATATTTTTTAACGGACGTGCAAAAAAAAAACACACAAATAATTTGAAACAAATGGAGTAATAGGTATAGAAAAAAGTAGTAATTTTAGGGTACTCAAGCTAACTCTTTCTGCTCATCAGATGACTAATTAAGCAACAAATCGATTTATGGCCAACACTTGCACCTTATTCATGTAGTCTCTTTTCGCAAGGAGGCGCATTTTACTTTGGGTGTGTTTGGTACAAAGCAAAATGTTTTTGAAGGATAATGTTTTTCTAGAAAATGTTTTCATGGTAAATGAGTGGTTTTATAACTTATTTCTTTTGTTTGGTTGGTGCGTGGAATACTTTTTCCGAATAATATTTTCTACTGTTTGGTTAGAGAGTAAAAAATATTTTTTTATGCTATTCTCTTCACTCACCCCCTTCTCCTAAGTCCCAATGTATCTTGTGCTCTCCCCCCCCNCCCTCCACTCACCTACTCGTTCTACACTTACTACT